TTTTTTTTTTTTTTAAATAGAGTTGTAAGAAAATTATTACTGAGCCGAAGAGCGAGTTTGCAGTCTTGATGAATCCATACTCGAATGTTGGGGTGCGGGTGCGTTCATTCCCCTGGCGAGGCAGCTCAGTTGTTTCTGCTCATTGGTTGAACAACTTCTGTGTCGAACTTGAGCGTAACGCCAAGGGGCTGAGACCAGACAAGGCGGCTTGTTCGATCCGTCTCCTCACTGAGTGAGGCTGGTCCAGGAGGGCGTCCCAAGAGCGTCTGGGGGACAGAGGGTCAATGCAACCTGTGCCTGGTCTGTCCATTGGGAGCGACCGCACGAAGGGTGCGCGGGGCTGTTAATCGAGAGTGTGCCAAGTGTTTCCTTGGGTGCTCAGTTCAAACAGGCCCTGTCTCTTTCTGCTACCTCGTCGGAGCACCTGACGTTCCCTGACCTAAAGCCATTCTCTCAGACAGCCTAGAAATAGACGAGACGGGAAAGCGCCCCTCTGTATGGTGCCGACGATTTGCTTTGGTTTTACAGAAAGGAGAAGCCGACGCCCTGAGCCTGGATGGAGGACTGATCTATGTCGCGGGCAAGTGTGGTTTGGTGCCTGTCCTGGCAGAGAACCAAAGTAAGTCGGTGTTGGGGGGGGCGGGGGCGTCCTCTCTGGTTTCTTCCGTCTGGCCCGTGGGAGCAGTAACCCCACTTGGTGGGTCCAGGGGCAGATGCTGAGATGGACGGATGCATTCAAACAGGAGAATCGGGGAGGGGGAGCAAGAACGGTTGAAAAGGGCCTTTACCCACACGGCCTGTGTGTTGAGAAGTGACAAAGCACAGATTGGTTTCCTCTTCTTCATGTAAAACGGGATTTTGGTCAAGTGCAATATACATACAGAAAAGTGCCCGTAAGTGCAGCTCAGTGACGTGTCACAAACTGGTGGGTCCCCATGCCCTAGTGCCCCGATCACGGCAAGTTCCGGATGGCCCCCGGCGCCCTCCTGCCACCAGCCGCCCTACTCAAGCGAGGGCAGTAACCCCTGACTTCAAACGGCACAGATCAATTCTGCCTGTTTAAAAAAAAATTTTTTTTAATTTTTATTCATTTTTTGAGAGAGAGATGGAGACAGAGCGTGAGCAGGGGAGGGGCAGAGAGAGAGGGAGACACAGAATCCGAAGCAGGTTCCAGGGTCTGGGCTGTCAGCACAGAGCCCGTCGCGGGGCTCGAACTCACGAGCTGTGAGATCATGACCTGAGCCAAAGTCGGACGCTTAACCGACTGAGCCGCCCAGGCGCCCCAATATCTGCCTGTTTTTAAACCTTCCGTGCGAGACACGTGCTTTGTACGTCTGTTGCTCAGTGTTATGTCCGTGAGATTCAACCGAAGAGTATTGAATCTCGCTGCTGTATGGTATTCTGTAGTTATTCGTCCATCTATGGGGGAGAGGCGTTCGGGTCATTTCCAGTTGGTGGCTGTTGTTTGGGTCGTTTCCAATTGGTGGCATCTGCGTCTGTGTCTTTTGCTGAACACACGCATCTGTGCCTTTCTGCTGCATGGGATTGCTGGACGGTCTCTTCGGATTTGATCCCGCATCGCTGAGATTTAAGAGTTTGTGGCTTCTCAGTAAAGCTGAGTGTTTAATGACATTTTGCTTGTTTTTGCTCCTTTCAGAATCACAGATCCCTAATAATGAACGTTGTGAGGATAGACGAGTGGAAGGTGAGTTGGAATCTGCTAATTTCAGGGTCATGGGTAAGTTCTCATTGCTGGAGGAGGAGGAGGAGGCGGCCGGGAACTTAAAAGAAAAATAAAAAAACCTCACAGAAAGAGATACAGCCACAGAAGCCGTAAGCTCTTTTGAAGAGGCAAATAATTCATAGACGAGTAATTGTAATTAATGTTATATTGACCTTCACACTTGGCAGAGAACTGTCAGAGTTCTTCACTGTTCTCACAGCCATGGACGGTACTGCGGCAGATCCTGGCCTTGAACCGGGTCTCCCGGGCTAGATCCCGTGCTCTGAGCGTTACCCCCACCCTCCCGCTGGAGCCTGGGCTTGCTCAGCGCCAGAGGAGCTCCGCACTTGTCCATGGCTGGAATCCGTCAGTGACGCACCGTCAGGAGAGGGATTGCCACCATGTGGACCCTCTCACGGTGCAGGGCTGGTTTGGACTTGGCACGGGGGGGTCCTTGCAGACACACTCCCTGCACCTACACAGCACTTAGTCTGGTGGCCATCGTGGCTGTGGCCCAGTGTCTGTTGCAGCTGGTGATTTATGCACTATTGGGGTCACACTTGTTCAGTGGTTTTTTTTTTTTGCCTTAGTGGCTCACCTCTAATTTAGTAGCTCACAATGTGTGCCTGGCCAAGGACAATCCCTAGCAATCACTTAAAGGATCCGCTTTTCCTGGGGCGCCTGGGTGGGTCAGTCGGTTAAGTGTCCGACTTTGGCTGAGGTCACGATCTCCCAAGTTTGTGGGTTCGAGCCCTGCGTCGGGCTCTGTGCTGACGGCTCAGAGCCTAGAGCCCGCTTCGGATTCTGTGTCTCCCTCTCTACCCCTCCCCTGTTCATGCTTTGTCTCTTTCTCTCTCAAAAATAAATAAACATGAAGGATCAGCTTTTCTTACTATTTCGTTTCATAGCCTAGATCGTTCTCACCTTCCCATAGAACAGCAGCCGAAGCTTCAGGCAGTGGCCGGATATCTGGGGGCATCATCGCCTGGCGATGCTTCTTGACTTACTTTGGCTTGGCTTGCAGACGGATGCGCTAGAGTCCCATGCCAGGCACCCTGGAGGTTAAGTCCTGCTCTTCTGTTGCTCAAGGGTACCTTGCCGTGGCAGTTGTCAGGAAATCAGATGCGGGTATCACCTGGAATTCTCTGAGAGGCAGGAAGTCTTGCCACACCGCCGTGGACAGGACTGCCGGCTGGAACATCCCCATGGGCCTGCTGTTCAGCCAGACAGGCTCCTGCAAATTTGGTGAGGCCTGAGGGCGTCGTGGGTGGGCCACCCTGGGCGGTAGGCACATCGAGCTGTGGAACCTTTGGGAAGGGCAGGGGCGGGGATGTGCAGGCTGACTGCGGCCCGTGGGCCGCTTTTGGGGTAAGCGTGTTCTCTGTGTGGCTGCCTCCTACAGTCATAGGAGCACTGAGTGGGTCTCTACCCAACACGTCCCATGCCCCAGCTCCCCCAGCCCCCGCAACCCAAGATAAAAATTCTGGAGTATCAGTCTGTTTCTCTGCACCCTAAGAACGGAGGCAGGTTCTGAGAAGTACGGATGTTATTATTATTATTATTATTATTATTATTTTTAATCTCTTGGAGCTCTGGATCCGAATTTCTCTTAGGCGCTGGCTTCCTAACTTGGGGAAAGGCACCTGCCTGCCTCATGAAGCTGACTTCTTGCTCCACATGGCAAGGAAACCAAATTAGACCTCCGGGGTTCTGGCTCACTTGCTTCCGGGGCCTTCTGTCCCGGCCGTACCCCAGGCCCACACCCCGTGCCCTACCTGCTGTGGGCCTGGTGCCGTGGAAGCATGTGGCATGTTCCCGCCGGAGCTCACCTCTCGTGCAGGGGTCTCCTCGAGTGGGGCCCTCCTGCATTTTGGATGGGTTAGGGACCCTGGTTCGGGCAGGTTTCCACGTGGCTCTGCTCCTCACCGCGAGCGCTTGCTGTGGTTGCTCTGCACAACCCCCGCGGCCTCCTCCGAGCTGGGGGGAAGCCGCCAGGACCTTAGTGGGGTGCTCCCCAGCCTCCTCCGGAGGTTGGCACGCGGGGTGGCTCTTCCGGGGGCGGGGGCTGCACATGTCTCAAAACGGGCTCTCGCTGCTCATCGAGGCGGGACTTTCTTGTCCGCATCGTGTTCTCTCTCCTCAACCCACATTAATCCATGTTGGCTCCCTAACGCGGGTTAAATCACACGATGGGCTAGTGCAGATTACGTTTAAGCTGCTGGGAGAGAAAACCCTGACTGGCAGAGGCTTATTTCCCTCTCGTGCAAGTGCAATCCAGAGGTGGATTGTCCACAGCTACTGGGACAGCAGCACAGTGTCAGCAACCCGGGCTCTGACAATGTGGCTTCCCTGCTCAAGGTCACCTCATGGCCCGTGGAGGTCTAGTTCCCGCTTCTGCTTTCCATGTGCAGAATGAAGGAGGGGAAGGAGAAGAAGAGGCAAAAGGCAGGTGCCAACTGTCTTTTAAGGGTGTTTCCAGGACGCTGGCACACAGCGCTCCTGCTTGATGCTCCCTGGCGCGTCCCTAGCCACATGGCTCTACTGGGCACGGGGTGGCGGGGGAGGCCAGTCTTTATTCTAAGGGACCAGGAGCCCGGGTCAAAAGCTGGCTTTCTATTTCGGAGGCAAAGGAAAATCAGGTCCTGCAGGGTGCCACCAAGTTCATCAACTGAGTCCCCAGCTCGAGGCTGTCATCATGGGACCCTCTGTCCAGTGACAGACTCTTTTCTCCGGCCGCAATCAGGATTCCCGTCGGTGCCTACAGGGAGAAGCTTCTCCGATTTCTGGCGGGCCTTTGGTGGGTGGGTCCGTGTTGCCGTTCGCGACGGTGAGCGTGTTCTGTCTGTCCTGTGCCGTGTAATGAACCCAGACCCAGTGGCATCGCCTGCTGGGCAAAGGCCTCTTACGTCGACTCGGGCAGGAAGAGCTGACTCCCGGTGTTCCTTCCACGCAGGTGAATTCTTTAGTGAGAGCTGTGCCCCCGGGGCCGACCCGAACTCCAATCTCTGTGCACTGTGCATTGGCGACGAAAGGGGTGAGAACAAGTGTGTGCCCAACAGCAGTGAGAGATACTTTGGCTACACTGGGGCTTTCAGGTGAGTGCCGCGGCCGAGCCTCCCCAGGACAGGGACTTGTCCTTCGTCCGTCATCCTCTGGCATCTTGGCAGTGCATTTCTAAAGGGTCAGACATGGCCTGTCACGGCAGAGGCAGGGAGCAGCCTGGAGGTCCGCTGATGGACTGTTCCTCCCCCACACAAGCCACTGCAGACAGTGGAGGCTGACAGGGTGCTGTCTGACCTCAGCTCAGCCGGGCGCCTCCCTGTGGCCTGGGGCCAAGGTCGGCGTCAGTGGGCCTCAGGGTCCTCATCCTCAGAATCAAATGGGGAGAGTACGTGGCCCCTTAAGTCCCGTCTATAATTCAATTTTAGGGGGAAGATTTCTCTCTCCTGTAGCCGCCACCCTCTAGGCCAACACCAAGAGTCGGCCACTTAACCGACTGAGCCAGCCAGGTGTCCCTGAGCTTTTCAGTATGTAAAATTCAGTAGCCAGGGGCGCCTGGGTGGCTCAGTCGGTTAAGCGTCCGACTTCAGCTCAGGTCACGATCTCACGGTTCGTGAGTTCGAGCCCCGCTCCAGGCTCTGGGCTGATGGCCCAGAGTCTGGAGCCTGCTTCCGATTCTGCGTCTCCCTCTCTCTCTGCCCCTCCCCCGTTCATGCTCTGTCTCTCTCGGTCTCAAAAATAAATAAAACGTTAAAAAAAATAAATAAATAAAATAAAATTCAGTAGCCTTTTCTCCAGTGATGGGAGGATACAGAAGTAGCTTTTACTCTCGTCTCAGTGGCCCATGAAAGTATTTTGCAGACGGACAAGAATATCTTTAAGGGTTTGCAAAGGGAAGAGTTGTGATGTGATTCCGCTCCGAAACATTGAGTAGACACGTTTCCGATAAAAACCCAAAGGAATCATGTGGTTTTCTCTCTTAAACCTGTGGGAAGGTATTATTTCACTGGAAACCCTTACACCTTGGTATTCCTGTTTATACTGGAAGGAAATGGTTTGTCTTTTGTTCCCACTGAGAGCTGGGACCAGAAGTCCTGTTACCACTGTATTTCTAACCAACGTCCTTATATTGCTGGTTCTTAATTTTCAACCATCAGCTATTTTCCGTGGACTTTCTATTCTGGAAGAAGAGATCCTAGCCTCTCCTGTGCCTGTTCCGCTCACATCCACAAACTTCACCTGCTTTTGGCCTCCCACAAATTTATGTCATGTTCAGTACATGACCATGGATATGTAAATATTATTCTCCTATTAAATATGTGGTATAATAAGGTTGTACTTCCCTTATTGTACAAAGTTTCTGTTTACTCTAGAGTTAACCGGTGTCTCATTTTTTGTTTGCTTAATCTTCTGTGCTTAAAAAGAAAAATCACTAATTCATCTCAAAACCCCTAGCCAGGAGCGTAAACCTCCTAACAATACATACCCAGAGTGAGTGCTGGCCGGGGTTCATCAGGTGATGGGGAATATTGCTCCTGCCCCGTCTGGACTGGTTTTCTCTAGGCCCCCTGGATTTCTGTGGTCCTTGATGGTCCTTCTGGGATTTCCTTTTGTTGTACTTCATGTTAAATTGCCCACTTCCCGGATCCCGTTATCTTTCGCTTTCTTGGTTTTGTTGGCACGGAACACATCTTTTTGAGAAGGGGTGGCTTGGATTTGCTGTGTTTTGAGTATTACATGTCTGGAAACATCTTTCTTCTATCTTTGAAATGATTTCTAGTTTGGCTGGATAACTAAGTGGAGGTTGAAAAACATTCTCCCTAAGGATTTTGACAGGATTTCCATGTCTGGGAAATGGCAGTGTTAGCTATTTTGACTGATTCTCTCACTAAAAACAAGCAAAAATGCTGGATTAGTACACACGTGCACACACACACACACACATGTTCTTTTTTAAAAAACATTTTTAAGAAATATTTTTATTTATTTTTGAGAGAGAGAGAGACAGAGCACCAGCAGGGGAGGGGCAGAGAGAGAGAGAGAGAGAGAGAGACACACACACACACACACACACACACACACACACACACAGAATCTGAAGCAGGCTCCAGGCTCTGAGCTGTCAGCATAGAGCCTGACACGGGGTTTGAACCCACAAACGGTGAGATCATGACCTGAGCTGAAGTTGGACACTTAACTGACTGAGCCACCCAGCTGTACCCTCACACACGTGTTCTTAAGAGTATTGAATAACTGGGGCGCCTGGGTGGCGCAGTCGGTTAAGCGTCCGACTTCAGCCAGGTCACGATCTCGCGGTCCGGGAGTTCGAGCCCCGCGTCGGGCTCTGGGCTGATGGCTCAGAGCCTGGAGCCTGTTTCCGATTCTGTGTCTCCCTCTCTCTCTGCCCCTCCCCCGTTCATGCTCTGTCTCTCTCTGTCCCAAAAATAAATAAACGTTGGAAAAAAAAAAGAGTATTGAATAACTGACAAAGTAGTAAAGGATTATTAGACTAAAATCTAAGGGAGACTAGGAATTCAGAGAGAGCTAAGTGCCCACTTTTTCCTCAGGACATTTACCTTCATGACAGACATGAACCTGGAGGTTACCTACACCTTTAAGGTAGGAATGAACCAGAAGTAACTTCCACTCCTACAGGGCATCAAGTTGCTGGATGCCGAGGAGAACAGGGAGGGAGAATGCATACCACCCCCCTGAGAACCTGAAACCATGAGCCAGCTTCTGCGTGGATTTGTAGCTCAAACTTGTATCCCCTAGGATAGTCCAGAAATTCTTGACTCACAAATATCTTTAAAAATGATCCCAGGGCACCTGGTGGCTCAGTCGGTTAAGTGTCCAACTTTTGGCTCAGGTCATGATCTTGTGGTTTGCAAGTTTGAGCCCCGCGTCGGGCTTTGTGCCAATAGCTCAGAGCCAGGAGCCTGCTTCGGATTCTGTGTCCCCCTCTCTTTCTGCCCCTCCACCGCTCGTGCTCTGTCTCTCTCTCTCTCTCTGTCTCTCTCTCTTTCAAAAAATAAAAATAAACAAATACACATTAAAAAAGAAAAGATCCCAGCCTAGTGGTCCCTCTAGAAACATGCCTGGAAGACAGCACTTTCATGGTAGGCCTCCAAAGACTGCTCAGAAATCCTGTCTCAATAATGATGAGCAGTACACAATAAAAAATAATTATAATAATATTAACCAACACACCAGGCTACCAAGCTACCAGAAGCAAAATCCAGCAGAAAAAACAAGGTAGTATTTCTTTTAATAGAAGAATAAACAGAACTTCTGGAAAGGGAAAAAACACAGCAGTTGAAACTAGCCATGCAATTGACCAGATTAACAGCATAGACACAGTAAAAGGAGAATGAAGGAAGATTTGTGAAAAACCTATCCAGAATTTAGCAGAAAGACAATACACAGCAAGCTCAAAAAATTAAATGCGTTGATCCATTGTCTTCTAAGTCTAGAGTTTCTGTTGAGAAATCGGATACCACTTTGGATTTCTGATTCTTTGTATATGACACTTTCATCTTGAAAAAACTCTATTTTTGAATTTGGAATACTTTATGTATAATTTCCTGAGAGAATAAGCTTTAGAAGGCTTAGAAAGCATCCTGGACACACAAGTCTATGCAAAGGATATTTTGTGAAGAGTGAAGAAATCAGACACCTAACACATCTCTCTTATATGTGTATTTCTCTCTAAATTTACAGAGATTTAGCGGTAATGAAAAATACGTTTAGGAAAAATTCATCTGGGGTTTTATCCAATGTAACATGTTTCGAAAACGAGTTTCTTACAAAGTTTCTGAGTTTTTAAAAACATGATTTCTTTTAATCTCCAGTATTCTGAAACTTGACGCTAATATTTCTGTACGTGGGTCTCCTTTTCATCCTTTGGGATTGGGCCATTGGTGGGCCCATTTCATCTGGAAGCTCAAGGTGTTCCGTTCTGGGAAATTTTACTTCATTATTTTTTGACGATTCCTACGCTGTTTTCTCTGGTTTCTCTTTAAACTTTGATTCGTAAATTACAGACTCCTGGGTTAGCATCTCATTTTCTTCTTATTTATTTTTTCATAATTGCTTTTCTTTATCTTCCAGTTTCTGGGATATTTGCTCAGCTTAACCTTCTAATTGTTCTATCGTTTTTTAAGAATTTTTGTGATGATGATTTTTTCTTTTTTTACTTTCTAAGAACTCTTTGTTCCGACTGCTCCTTTTTTAGACTTTGCATTCTTGTTTCATGAATGCTGCCCCTTCTCTCATCCCTTTAAAGACATTCATTGTCGTTTTTAAAAAAAAAAGTGTTATTCTCTCTCCCATATTGTCTCTGTATTTTCTGAGTATTGCTTTGGTCTCCATTTATTTTTTCTGGTATTTCTTCAACTATCCAGCGGTTTCTGGCCCTTTGTCCCTATTTAAGAAGGAAATAATGGCGCTGTCACAATTCTGCATCAGTTACCACATCTTGGCAAGTAGGGGCCTCACCTGTGGTGCAGTTGGTTTGTGTCATTTCACTGTGGGGCATCAAATATCAGAATCGATAGGCGTTTTTCTTGGGTTGATCAGCTTCTCCGGAGAAAGAATCACCCTGTATGCTTCTCGGGAGGCTGAGTAGGGGAAAGGGGCTATGATTTAATCTTCCAGAATAGAGATTTTCAATCCCCTTTCTTTTCTTTTTTTTTAAAATGTTTTATTTATTTTTTGAGAGCGAGAGACAGAGTGTGAGCAGGGGAGGGGCAGAGAGAGAGGGAGACACAGAATTTGAAGCAGGCTCCAGGCTCCGAGCTGTCAGCACAGAGCCCGACAGGGGCTCGAACCCACGAACTGTGAGATCATGACCTGAGCTGAAGTCGGATGCTTAACCGACGAGCCACCCAGGCACCCCTTTCAATCCCCTTTCTGATTTTAGTGTTGGGCCTCTGCCCTCTGCGGTGCTTGGCTGTCTGTCCGTAGTGTTGTTCAGGTTCAAGTTCCTGTGAACAAACCTTCAGTCTCCTGCTGGGTGGGGGGAGGGGGAGTGCTCTCCCGGGTGCATGGGATAGGAGGGTACCTGCCCAGTCCTCCTGTGTCAGCCACTCTCAGGGGTGCCTGGTCCTTCTAACTGATGAGTCTTTCTGGAGTTCTGCAGTGCACATCCGTTTTCTTCTGGGCTTTCTACACTTCCGGCTTATGGTACCGCTGTTCTGTGCTCTGCTGGGGAAATCACTGCTCATTGATTTGCTCTCCACCTTCCAAACATGGTCATATTATCTTCTCTCCCTGCTGCCCTCCTCTTGCTCATGGTTTATGGCTTACAAAAAAAAAAGTCTCACTACTGTAAAAAAAAAAAATCTCACTAACGGTATTTTATTGGGATCTTAGAAGCAGGGAAGGTTCACATGTGCATTTAAAATCCTAAGTTCCAGGAATATTTGTTTTCGTCTGTGCCACGCATATGACAAATATTTATGAAAACCCTAATAGTTTTTCTTCTCGGGCAATGTGTTTATTTTAGGTGCCTGGCTGAGAAGGCTGGAGACGTCGCCTTTGTGAAAGACTCCACTGTCCTGCAGAACACGAATGGTGGGTGAATACATCCCAGTATTCAGATGTGCAGTCGGGAAGCTATTAGAACCTTTTCCAGGCTTTGGATCAAGTTCATTCCAAAATTCTTTACCTCATATGCAACATGGTGCATCTGTGAGTGTCACGTTGACTTTGAAACCAAGTTCCCTCTGTCTCACTCTCTCTCGGACACACACACATGCACACAACCACGCACCAGCCGTGCTCAGTAACAAATGTCTCCCTGGCGTTGTCTAGTCACCCACGAAGCACACTGTCTGCCTGTTCCCACATGGACAACTGAATGTGGATGCTACCAAAAAAA